ATGTCCACTGACCCCTTTGGCCTCTTAGCCTCAGCTTCTCCAGCTGATGGGAGCCAATGACAACCGTCACAGCTCACACTGACTGCGTGGGGGACTCACTTGTTCTTGGGTACCTGGGGAACTCTGCTTTCCCTCCCACCTAGCTCCAGAGACACTGGGAACATGCTGCTGGGAACACCCCCAGGTCATACAGACAAGAACATGACTCAGAGACCACCTGCAACCTTCGCAGCACGCCAGTGCCTCTGGTCTACCACCCAGATGGCTCCCCCGCATCTCAGAGGAGCCCCTGGAAGAACAGTGAGAAAAATGACCTTTTCCTGCTGAGCTAGGATCTGTGCTGATCCTGTCAAAACCTCGTTTGGGTTTAACTTCACCCCTGCATTATGATGACTATTTTCATGTAACAGATGGAGAACCTGGGCCCCACTGATGCAGCGAACCTGGTTCTTGTGCTGGTTGAAAGGAATGAAGGATGGGGCACCTGGGTGGCTCCGTCAGTTGAACATCCGACTCTTGATTTCGGCTCAGGTTGTGATCTCACGCTTTGTGAGATGGAGCCCAGCATTGGGCTCTGCACTGACAGTGGAGCCTGCTTGGGACTCTCTCTCTGTCTCTCTCTCTCTTTCCTTCTCACTGTCCCTCCCTCCCTCTTTCTATCAAAATAAATAAAATAAACTTTAAAAAAGGGAAAGGAACGAGAAGAGATTCCTTTGAGAGAAGAGGGAGGGGAGGAGGCAAAGAAGGAGAGGGGAGAACAGAGGAGGGAAGGGAGTTGGGGGAGGAAATTCAGAGGAGAAAAACAAGTTTGTTGAGGGGGCCCACGGAAGAGGGAAGGGGGAGTCGGGGCAAAGAGCTGAGGTCAGGCCCTCTGGGTGGAGGTGAGCGACACAGGATCTCTGACAGACATGCAGGACCCAGCTGCTCGTGCTAGGAAGCCCTGGGCTAGGGCCTCAGGCACCTGCTCCTTGTCAGGCCCGCCAGCCAGATTGAGGCCCTGTCTGCAAATGCCAGCTGCGGGTGGCAAGGCAGGCAGGCGGGGCCCGCCCAGGGTAAGGTGAAGAGTGTCCCTGTGCCATGCCCTGCCAGCCTAGTCCTGGGGTGTTGTGAGTGAGCTGTGGGGACAGCATATTTACATATGTGGCTGGGGAGACCCACTATGGGGCCCTCAGAGCCAGCTGGGGGGCATTGGCTTTTTTTGCAGCTGTGCCTAGCTGAGGGGAAACCGGGTAAAGACAATAGACCTGCTTCCATCTCGACACCCCACAGGGGTTGCAGAGTGTAGTGGTAGGTACTATTATTACCCCCATTTACAAGAGGGAAACTGAGGCACTGAGTAGTTAGCTAACAGCACCCACAGTCAGTCTCAAGGTCTGTGCTTCCAGCCACTGCATCATGCTGCCTGCAGGAGGGACTGAGACCCCCTGCCGCGCTCGCTCTGACCACATCTGCCCCCTCCCTCCCACCCCACCCACTGGCAGGAGCTGGTAGTTCTAGGAATGGCTGCCTGGTCTTCAAGTGCCCGCTAGACTGGGCTGTGCTCCTGTCTTTGTGTCCCCTTCCGTGCAAGGCCCCCCAGGGCCAAGGTTTCCTGTCCCCGCACTCAGCATCCACCCCTAACAGCTGGACTTCTCAGCTCCCCTGGACTTCTCTGAGTCCCCATAGCCATCTGGGTCATGGTCACAGAGCATCCTGCCCCACCTCCTTCTCCCAGTAGCAGCTTCTCCCCACTTGGGCAAGCCTGTGCTGGGTGAGATCTGTCTCTGTGTTGGGCTTGACCTCCACCCTCCCTTCCTTATGCGTATTTGGGGCCCAGACCCAAGGGACTCCAGGCAGGCCTCACCTGCTCAGAAGCAAAGATTTCCCTTGGGATCACATGTGAGCTGTCTGTCCGTTGAGCACCTTACCCTGTGCTGGGGGCAGGGCTTTGCAGACACTATTCATTCCTCACAGCCACAGGTCAGGGGGCACTATTTCAGCCCCCATTTTATCCATGACCAAGGCTCAGAGTGGTCAAGTACTTGTGCAATATTATTTAACCATAAGTGGCAAAATACAAACTCAGGTCTGACTCACTCCAAAGCAGAATCCCATATCAGAATCTCTTGGGGAACTTAAAAAAATTTTTTTTAATGTTTATTTATTTTTGAGAGAGAGAGAGAGAGAGACAGAGTGCAAGCAAGGGAGGGAGGGCAGAGAGAGAGAGGAAGACACAGAATCCGAAACAGGGTCCAGGCACTGAGCTGTCAGTGCAGAGCCTGATGCAGGGCTTGAACTCACAAACCATGAGATCATGATCTGAGCCGACATCAGAGGATTAACCAATTGAGCCACCCAGGTGCCCCAAACCTATTCTTTGATGTGGATTTTTTTGTGAAGGTGGGGACCAGGGATCTATGTATTGATTAAACTTGCCCTGGTGATACTCCAAAGTGGTCTGTGGGCAGCAGTGGGGAGCACTGACAGTCAAAACAGTAATGCACCCCCTCCCCAGATCCCAGAGAGCCTCTCAGTGCCTGTGGGAACCCATGTCCCTCAACAGTGTGGTCTGTTGGGGCAAGGACGCTATAGCCAACTCCTAAACCTGGGCAAGACAATGGCCATGATTTATTGGGCACTTACTGTGTGTGCCTAGCACTAAGGTCTACCCTCACGTGTACTCCCTCTTTTTTATCTTCACTTTTCCTTCTGAGAGGGGGATGTTTATGTGTGGGGAAACTGAGGCTCAGAAAGAGATGACTAGGGGAAGTCAAGACAGGGAGCAGGAACCTCCTGCAACTCTCCCGGGCAAATGTCCCAGGGGCCCCTGGGACAGAGAAGCTAGGAGAAGGACTTCCTAGGAAATCACAGCCTGGCATCTTTGGATTGTACTCTAGCTTGACCTCTGGCCTCCCCTTGCGGGTCCTCAGGGAGACCACATCTATTCCCTCTCTGCTGATTGAGGAAGCTCCTTCCTGCTGCTCTGATGTTAGGGGTCCTGAGCCAATGCCCAGGCCCAGACACGGCTGAGTCACTCCCACCCTGCAGCTCTCAGGCTAGCAGGACCCCGGCCTCTACTGGATGCCACTCTGGTCGGGTCCCTGGACGTGCAGTGGGAGAGGGTAGGAATGTCCATGAATGTGAACACAGGCATGTGCACATATACATACGTGCATATGCACCTGTACAGGAGTTTACATATGAAGCCTCCCAGACCTTTTTCTAAGAAGAGGGCACTGCCCCACCATAGTGTCAGTTGTCCACTCAAAACTCTCTGAGGGGGCCCAGGCAGGACCACAACCTGCGCCTTTGAGACAGTCACACCGAGCACAAGCATTCAGCCTGTCCGGTGTCAGCCACGGCCTGGCCCGAGTGGTCCCTGGGAGGTGTGGGGGTGAGGCTGGTTGGAAGAATGGGCCAGGCCACCCCTTTCCTTCTGCATTCTCCTGCCATGGGAGATTTGTAATGAAGAAGTCCTCCTCAGCCCTTCCTTCCTACTCAAGACCCTTCCCTGGGAGGATGCCTGAGTATACAGCCTTGGCAGTCCTTATTAGCACCAGAAGTAGGGCCTGTCTGCACCCAAGGGAACTCTCCCATGGGGGTGTGTGGAAGCAACAGAAGGTCTGGTGGCCACAGGGTGGCTCTCCTGAGCTGGCAGCACTGTGCCCTGGCCTCCCGCCAGCAGGCTCGATCCGGACATCTCAGCTGGCAGAGCCCCCAGCCAGCTTCTGTCTTGGCAGCTCCTCCTGGCCTGCGAGGGTGACTTCACTTTGACTTCATATCTGCAGAGTGATGTGCTGATCTCTTATTCAGCCCTGAAAAGGGCGGGGCTTTGCGCACAGCAGGAAGAAGAGACACCGAGGCAGGGGCTCCCCAGGCCTGGGGCCCTGGACCCTCCCACCCCAAAGCTCCATGGGTCTCTATTCCTCTCTACCCAAGTGGAGGCCATTCCTCAAAAGACAGCTAGGAGTGGTAGGAGAGCAGTGGACGTTCCCCACAGAAACCTAGAATCCAACTCCAACTTCACCCCAGGACCCTCCATGTTAGGGGCCCAGAGTCTCCCCCTTTATGGGATTGGATGTGTTCATGGGTTCATGTGCTGGGCAACAATTAAATTACTCTGGGCTCCAGCTCCTTCCTGCTACTTGCTCTGCTACCCCGCAGTCCACATCCTAAGAGTTCTTCTGTTTGGGAAAGAACACCTGCCCTCCAAGCACGCCACTAGGCTGCCAGTGCCAGGCCTCTCTGAAAGGTGTGCCCAGAGCCAGGTTCCTGCTCCCATTGGTTGGAGGAGTCCTAAAGAGAGGGGGATCACAAACTAGCCCCAGGAGACGTTACCCCGTCCCTGAGCGCGACCGCGGACTTTGTAAGCCACGCGCCAGGCTCGCTCCAGGAGTGCGCAGAAAGCGCTCAGGCTCCCCTTGCCTCGTCCAGGCTCTTCCCCTCCTCCCGCCCGGCCCCAGGAGAGGCCGCGCTCCCACCGCGCCTCCCCCCTCTGAGAAATGGCGGAGGATGCGCTCCGTGCTAAGAGCCTGGAGGCGGGGCGCCCGCCTTGTGTCGTTGTCGGATCGGGCGCACCCCTACCCAGTCCGCCCTGACTCCGCATCCCCGCACGGTTTTCCAGCCCTTACCGCGCGGGCGGCCGCAAAGAGCCGAGCGCAGGGACTGCGAGCGGGCGCACAGGCTGAAAAGAGTGGCTGCGCGTGCAGAGGTGCGCGCACTGGGGCTGCGGGTGGCAGGCCCGCATCCCGCGGCCGGCACCTTGCCCCTACTCGCACCCCGGCCGGCCCGCATCCAGCGACCCTCACGGATTTCCTACACGCGCCCGGCGGGATCCCAACTGGGCACCCGCAGCCGGTACCCCGAGCCCCGCCCTTACCCCCGCACCCCGCCCGCACCCTGGCCCCGCCCGGTCCGGCCCGCCCCCGGCCCGCCCCCCTCACCGCCCCGCCCCGCCCCTGCCCGCTCCTCCGGCGCAGCCCGCGCCCGCCCCGCCTCAGTCCCGCGACCCGAGCCCGGCGCGCAGCATCGGAGAGGAATCGGAGTCCGCGCCCCGACGCTCTGCGCCCGCAGTGTCCGCCGCGTCCGCCGCGTCCCGGGCGGGCATGGGGCGGCCAGGCTGAGCGCCGCACCCCGCCGCCGAGACCCCCAGCCCCAGCCAGCAGCCCTCTGGCCGCGGCCCCGGCGTGCGCGGGCCATGGCGAAGGCGACGGCGACGGCCGGCGCCGCGGGGCTGCGGTTGCTGCTGCTGCTGCCGCTGCTCGGCGAAGGTGAGTCCTGCCCGGCGCCGGTGCCCGCAGCGGCCGCGGCGAAGTTGGCTCCCGGCGCGAGCGGCGGAGCGGACGCGCTCGGAAACGCCTTTCTCTTTGCCGCGGGCAGCGGGCTGCGCACTTGCTGGCCGCCTGGGCTGGGCTGGGAGCGAGGTGGGGCGGCAGACCCGGCGCCTCGAGGCCCAGGCTTGGGCGGGTCTTCGGCCGGAACGGGACGCGGGCCGGGCCGGGCGGCCGGGGTCAGTGCGCAGGGCCTGAGCCGCCGCGGCGCGTCCCAGCCTGGTCGCGCCTCGCGCCGCGGCCGCGTCTCGAGGCGACCCGGACAGATCTTGTCGAGGTTTTCGGCGCAGGTGGGGGGGCGGGGGGAGGTAGCCCCGGTAGCCCCAGAAAGCCCGCGACTTGCGCAAGGAGTTCTTTCTCTGCAGATTGTTCCGTCCTGGTTTCCTTTCCTCGCTCCACGTCGGGGCGTTCCTCCTGCAGCTCCGACAGCCTGGTCCGCCAAGGGGTGCCAAGGGATCTGCTCTTTTGTAAAAGGTTGCTTTTCCCTCGTGCGTTTCTGCCGCCCTAGTCTTTAAAAAATCTTAAAGCCCATGGTTTCTGGGAGGCTGCCCTCTAGGGCCCACTCCGACTGGCCCAGCGCATCCTTGCTGAGGCCCCGCCATGGCCAGGGTTCCAAGAGGCAGCGTTAGAGTTGCACGCCGCTGCCAGGCAGGGCCACCTAAGGGTATGGCCTTTGGGACCCGGAGACCGCCCTTGACCAACCTTTACCAAGGGATTTTGACCATTTTAGAGTGGGGCAGGGCTGCGTGCCGCCAGCGTCGGTGCTGGAAGGATTGGATGTGGCCTTGCAAAGGCTGGTCACCACCCCCGACGCCAGACTGACAGAATGAATCCTGAGGCCATAGAATGTTTGGCCCCCTTGGCTGTACATTTTAGTGTCCTTACAAGAGCCGTGATTTGATCTCTTCTGTCAGTGCTTACGTATGCATCAAGTTTCTCTCTGACAGGGAAATCTGCCCTCCCCCACTGCTTACAAAAGACTTTCCCTCCTTGTGTCCTTTGGGAACAGAAGAGGCAGTAAGGTCCCCTGCCTCTAGCCCCTGGCCTTGCAGACTCTGGATTCACCAGTCTGCCCCAAGGCTTCATTTGTGTGACTGGATCCTGGGTTCCGCTGGTAGATACTGGAGCCAGAATGGGTTCCCAGCCCATCATGGGAAGAGCAGGGGAGAAGCTCTTTCCTTGCGCTGAGGAGGGATGTGGGGGAGGGAGTCTGTTTCCCGTATTGGAACTTTGGGGTCACTGGGCTGCAAGGGGAGCGCCCCTAGGAGGCTGCAGTCAGGGCAGAAGTAAACAACAATGTTCTGAAGATCTCTTCTAACTCTGAGATGCAACTTTGTAACTGTAGGCATGTAGTCTGGTGTGAGCCGAAGCCAGTGCTCTTTGGGCAACCTGTGGTACCCTCTGTGGCTGCTGGGCAGCCTGTGCCAGCCTCCACAGCCTGCAGAGTATTTCCCCGTGCTCTTCGACAGCCATTAGTTTAACTGGGGTGCCTGGCAAGGCTTCAAGGGCTAGACTGTGGGGCCCAGGCTGCAAGAGTCGACCTGTGGCACTTGGCACGGATGCAGTTGGCTTTTTCACACCTCTGGCCCACGCGATTTGGTGGCCAGAGACCTGCTTTCCAATCTAGGGAAAGGGAGCCTCCCCGCCCCACCCCACCCCCACCCACCTTTCACTTGGGATGACCAAGAAGCCATGGTTGGCTGGCGCTGAGGGTGGAGAAGTGGGCCTGCAGCACCCAGGAGGAGACAACTGGGGCCTTCGAGGAGGCCTACGCGCACCCTTCACTTGAAGCAGCATCCCTGGAGCTCCTCATTGAGCTGCACCGGATGAGCCCTGATGCTGCTCCAGGACCCACCCAGGCTGAGAGCAGCTCAGCCTCTGGGCGCCCTCTTGTGGCTGTAGCACTCCAGTGACCGGGCCCATCGCCCAGGGGAAGTGCCCGGTCTTTAGAGGATGAGACCTTTCCCGTTTGGACGGACAATTCCTCAAGGCAGGAAGCTCTCTTCTGTGCTGGGGGGCTGACGGGAGGGGCAGGGAGGTGACCCAGATGAAAGGCAGTGGCCTAGACCAGAGCACAGAGGAAGGAGCCCCACTGCTTTAAGGCTGGCCAGGCAGGGGGAGGGCAGGGATGCCTAGAGCAAGGCTATAGGACATAGACAGACCCCTGAGACTTGTTCCCCCTCCACATGTGCCCACTGTCATTGTGTGTGACCGCATACACCTTAAGAAAAAGGTGATGACACAGACTCCTCTCTCACATCCTGGTAGAATGGGTGCACACCCACAGGGTCACTCTCTCTCTCCTCTCTCTCTCTCTCTCTCACACGTACACACACACACACTCACGCACACACACACACTCTCTCTCTCCCACAGTTGCTCATCACTAGCCACGCTCCTGCCCTTTCTCAAGGATATGTGATCGTGACGCCTATGGACACCCACACACTCCCACAATGAGTGAGGCCTGACCCCACTCACACTCCACCCTCACCAGGGAAACCCAGCCCCTATCCCTGCCACTCACACATACTGGGACCTCATGTATATACATAGGGATCCCTGCCCTTCACCCCCTCATATGCTCAGGGACACAGCCCATTGGCCCCAGGGATCCTGGAACCAGAATTGGGAACTTCCATCTAAGACTTGTTCTTAGAAGAGTCTCTGGCATTTTGCTGCTCAACACAGGTGCAGCCACCCTTGTGGCGTGGAAGAGCAGTCTCGTCCCAGCTCGGGGCTCTCCCAGCCTGACTTCCCCTGTGGCATCATTCCCCTGACTCTTGAAGTCCCTCAGCAGGCCTCACAGCTGTCGTCTTTCTGGCCTGGCTTTTTGGGTCCCGTTTTGCTGAGCACCTGTGGCTTCAAGGATGGACCTGCCCCTCTCCCTGAAGACCTCTGGGACTTTCAACCCCTGACACCAAAGAAGGGAGAGCCCCCTCTCCCCACAGGGTGGCCGGCCCAGCCCTCTACAGTGTGGCCTGGGTGGGCCGCTTATGCCTGGGCCAGCAGACATCAGAGCAGCCATGCTGGGAAGCTGCCTCACCCACTTCTTCCTTTCTTTTGGACCCTCCCTCTCTTTGGCCGGGGGCTAGTAGAAGACATGTCCTGCTTCACCAGCTGATGTGGGTCCCTGCCCTCTTCCTCCTTCACCCCAGCCTGCGTCCCCACTAGGCCCCTCTCACCTCTGGGAGCTGCTTGCATCCCGCAGTGCCTGCCCTGGGCTCTAACAGCACCCGGCCTACCCAAGAACACAGGGGACAGACGGGCTAGCTGGGCTCTGAAGGCTGGGGCCTGCAAACAGAGAGCAAATGGGGAAGTTTATTGAGCCCGTTGCTAAATTGCTTTATTCTACAGAATTGCTTTAGGGATGGCTAAGTAAATCGCTGTTTCCTTGGTGGTGTGAAGAAAATGGGATGCATTCACCTAATGGGGAGCTAATGGCCTTTTAGCCAGGGGAAGAGAAAACTAATTAAAAATTATGGTATCTGTTAAAATGGAGCCCAGGGTGCCAGGGGGAATGGAAGGCCCGGAAGCTGCCACTTCCCCTCAGGCCTTACCCCTCTCTGTGACCTGAGGGAGGACTCCTCTTTCCTTTGGTCCTAACTGGATAAGGCTGATGGCAGCCACCCCCAGGGAACTCACAGCCTGCTGGCCCTCTGCTGAGCACTGCCCGACTGCTAGCTTCCTGTCACCTCCCAAAACCCTGAGGGACATGGCCGTGGTTTCCCATTTCACAGGTGAGAAAGCCGTGTCGCACATCACCTGTGGACTCCAGCCTGTGGAGCAGACTTAGTGACTCCTCACCCCTAGTGCTCCGTCTTTTGGCAAGTGCCTTCTCTGAGCCAGCGGTGGTGCGGGCCAGGGATGGGGCTGAGGAGGGATCTGGGAAAGAAAAGGACCGGGCCTGGGAGGGCGTGTGGCAGTGTGCTTGGAACAGTTCATCTGGGCCGTGGCAGATTTCTTTGGCTGGACCATTGCTTTAGCAGATGTTTAGGGGTCTTATGATCTGGAGACAGCCACCAAGCATGGCCCTGTCTTAGCTGGCCCCAGGAGAGGGGTGTGTGTCACAGCTGGCCCGCAGAAAGGGGTCTCTGTGAGGGTGCAGCCTCTGCACCCACTCTCCTCCTGGGGACCCAGTACCTGACCGAAGCTGGGCGGGGGGCGGGGTGGCGCTGGACTTCAGGAGGTTGGGGTACAAGTGTGTCTCCTTATCCAGGACAGGGCCCTACTCCTCAGAGCTCCAGGGCAGACTGGGAGGGGAAAGTGCCCACCCAGTGCCCAGGGAAAAGGCAGAGCTGGAGAGGCACTCCCCCACTCCCATAGCAGCGCTCTTCTGTCCTGTGGAAGTGGCTGCATTTCTACTGTGGAACCATCTCCCCTTCCTGTGGGTGTGGGGGAGGACGTTTCCTGGTGTGAGGGTCGTGCTCTGGCAGCACTCAGGTCGGGTCCCCCATGTCCTCCTCCTCCTCCCATGTCCTGCTCCCTGTGTCCTCCTCCTCCCATGTCCTCCTCCTCCTCCCGTGTCCTCCTCCTCCTCCCGTGTCCTCCTCCTCCTCCCGTGTCCTCCTCCTCCTCCCGTGTCCTCCTCCTCCTCCCCATGTCCGCCTCCTCCCCGTGTCCTCCTCCTCCTCCCGTGTCCTCCTCCTCCTCCCCATGTCCGCCTCCTCCCCGTGTCCTCCTCCTCCTCCCGTGTCCTCCTCCTCCTCCCCATGTCCGCCTCCTCCCCGTGTCCTCCTCCTCCTCCCGTGTCCTCCTCCTCCTCCCCATGTCCGCCTCCTCCCCGTGTCCTCCTCCTCCTCCCGTGTCCTCCTCCTCCTCCCCATGTCCGCCTCCTCCCCGTGTCCTCCTCCTCCTCCCGTGTCCTCCTCCTCCTCCCCATGTCCGCCTCCTCCCCGTGTCCTCCTCCTCCTCCCCGTGTCCTCCTCCTCCCGGTGTCC